GAAGCCAAAAGCTCATATCAAGAGTAGTCCTCACAAATGTTTCACTGCAAAAGCAGGCCTCAGCATGATGGTGGAATGGTGGACAGTTGGATATCAACATTTTGACTCCAAGAATACTCATATGGACCACCGAATTGACCAATGGACCCTGTGTGGGAGTGGATCCTACTCATCCTGTTTGTTGGCTGCAAGTCCCAAAACTTCCAGCCAGGGAGAAAGACACCGATCTTGCTCGACACGCTGAATGAGTCGCAGGTGCAAGACATACTTCGGAATCTGTCTGAGGATGATACCAACTGGTACTTTGTGCCTCTACTTGAAGAAAGTGACACGGATTTATCAAGATATTCGCCACAGGTGAAGCGGCAGCTGGGAAAACTTGGCTCCTACATCTATGGTCCCAGCACGATCTACAGTGGTCACTGCCCTGCTTATGGCGAACACGAGAACGCCACCCAACGCCACCACGAAGGCATGAAAGACATGATTGAGTCACGTTTCGGATGGCTTCTGGACACAGTGCGGAGGAAGCTGGCAGAGGAGGCGGGCCCAAAGCCTCCAACCTAATAGCATCCTGATTGCATGGAAGACTGCTTCTTGTTTCTAATAGCGAACCTTGTTACTACTAGTAAGGCACTTGTTACTAGAAGCGATGCACTTGTTCCTAGTAGCTTCTTGTTTCTAATGTTCTTTGTATTTCTTTGTAATCTTTGTTTGTAATATGCACTGCCTGCAGTTCACTTGCTTCACTTTTTGCGCTCGCCGTCATTGGAAACGAGGTTTTATATTTTTCTAAGATTGACAGGTCTCAGATCCTGTGGAATGGATGTCATATCCATATATCAAGATGCACCGGGGTGATTCCTTGGACGCTTTGCCCTCCGAGTTTCGAGACTTGGCGCTGAAAGTGGCGCCGCCCCACCGTGACCAGCGGCTCGGAGTGGGAAACGGAGAGGTTCTCAGACAGGTTCAGGATATATAGGTCTTGGAACAGATCAGATAGGATAACTGGGAGAGCTACGCAAGTGATAGGATCCTTTTTTTTCACGTGTTTTCATCAGCTGATAGAGTAGTTATATAATACTATATTGTATTATATAGAGGCTGATGGCTGATGGATGCTGATGGATTACAGGCTGTTTGCACTGGCTTTGCAGAAGCTCATGCTTGGTGATAACTGCATTTTGCTGGCTGCATCGCTTCACCTTCTTCACCGGATTTCTTTGAACCCTTCTTCTGCCGGATTTCCGGGAGTTGTGAAATCCCGATCATGTCCTACTCCACCCAAAGTCATTGTTTTGATCTGAGGCAATTCATGTCCTACGTCCCCAAAGAGCAGCAGCCCTTTGCGCAGACTTTGACCTTCACACTGCCCATCCAAGTGCCCAGTGGTGGTGCAGGTTTGCGCTGCTTCGATGCTTTTCTGGACAAGCCCAGCGGGAAGCTGCTCAGCCAACAGGCCATGTACTGACTTTGGTCAGTTTGTACTCATTTCAAACATTCCTTTTCCCAAATGCATCGACGAAACATGAACTCATGAAGGTTCACGGATAATTAATAAGTTGGTATATTGATGATAATAAGATGGTTCTTCATAATCCAAAGCCTTCAAGCAAGTCTCTAAAGAAGCGAGCAGACTCTCCTGCGTGCAGGGCCAAGAGCTTCCAAGAACTGGACAAGCATATCAGCAGCTCGTGAGCCACTTGCCCTATGAAGATGTCGTTTACCTTCCTGGGCGGATGCTACTTTTCTCCGGGGACCAGCTACACGCAGTAAGTCCATACAAGAATCCTATCTCCTCGGATCGGCGCATTGTGCTACAAGGACATGGGATCTTCCAGGAAGGAGTCTGGAAGCTCTTTGGATGACCAAGATGGCGTTTGGACTCAATCGCAAAAGCTTCAAGAATTTGTTAGAAGGTTTGTAGAGCTTTTCTGGCCAAAGACGCCAGCTACTCGTAGGTCTTTGTCGTGCGAAAAAAATGTGATTTTTGGGAGACGCACGGTCTGCTGAGGGAAGCAGGTTGAGGGTCATGGCCTTCTGCTAGTGCGTTCCTTTGCGCAGGTGGCCTCTCTGCAAGCTTTACTCGTCCCTTTGCTGGGGAGCAACAGGTGAGATTTTGTAGCTGAGCATGTGGCACACCGGCAAAGGGCTTATTTTTGGCATGTCAAGTTATCAAGTTTAGCCAGGTGGACTTGGACCCGTTGGACGGCCAGCCAATTGGATGTACATTTACAGTCACCTGGCCTATCCAAAGGTGGTGACCAGGTTCGGGTTCGTGGTATGTCGCAGTTGTCCATGCACTGCTCGGGCTGAGATCTGAGTGAGATCCTGTTTGAGCAATAAGGTCATGACCAACATGCAGTCGAAGTCCTCTTAGTTGGTCCGGCCAGTTCCCCAGTTTGCCAAGATCGTTCACGTAAAATCCGCGTCCGCTTTCCAAGGTCTTGCCCTCATAGATTTGCCGGCAAGCGTTTCACTTTGAGTAGTTCGCATTGTTGAGCACTGCATTCCGATCACCATTCAAGCAGCATTTTGACATGTTTGGTTCGATTCTTCCTAACTCTATCCATGAATCACCATTCCATGCTCCTTGCTTTGTTGATATTGCATCGCGTAGAAAAGGCCATGTCGGATGCTGTACGTAGCCTTGGTTGAAAGCCTTGATTGGTGTTGATCTAATGCGCTGAAGGCAGTTTGCGCACTGTCAGAATCGCCAGCTAGTCAAGATGTTGTGACTCTAAAATCGGCTCGAGATTAGTTCCTCTATCAGTTGCTCATATCCTTTTTAACTTACCAACAACGACTTTCAAGTCAAAAGCGAAAGTTCTTTGGGTGTCCCGACATGGATGCGACATGTGGGTGGATATTCTATGATATTCTCCTTCAAGTCCACTCTTTGCTTTGAACCTGTAGATCATAGGCAGCTTTTTTGGCGGCATGGCGTTGTCCTTGCCCCTCGCTTTTTGCTGGATGTTCCTTCCAGCTGTGTTTGGCTTATGACTTTTTCCACACAGCTTCGCTGTCAGCTTCACTGTCTGCTTCGCTGTGTTGTGTTTCTTGCATTTTTCGTGGAAGTCACCTCGGAGCCTTCCTGGGTCCTCTGGACTGACCTCAATGGCGCAGACTTCTTTTGGACCTCGAGCAACTGCTCCACCATGGTTTTACCTGACTCTGGAATTGCTGGGAACAGCGCACCTCTTCCTCCGGCCAATGGTGGTATCAGTGATATGCTTTTCTTTCCAGACACACATGAGCTTCTTTGGCTGGAAGGTGGCCGGCTGCTCCGCTCCTGGATGGACAAAACCCAACGCCGTGAGCTCGCAGTCTTACCTGGAGATGCCAATGTGTCTGAGCTACTGAATGTCACTGGGAACGGCCCAAGCTTGGGCTCTCACGGTGAAGATGGGGCAATTGCTTGGACACAGCAGGACTCAACGGCCGTGATTCTCTTTGCGTCACTGGTGACCAAGAAGCTGTGGATTGCAAGTCTTTCATCAATTCCACCCCGAGAACCTTCTCATGTTGGGCCTTGGCTTCAGGTGCCTGGTGCAACTATCGAAAGCAGCAAACCAGATGCATCAGGAGCTCCACTCCTGTTAGCCAGTGATGGCACTGTTTACTGGACTGATGCTCTCCACTTCCGTTCCTGGACTGCTTCCGCTGCCCTCCAGGCAGCTTCTGAGAACCCCACGTCCCAGTCTGCTGCTTTGGCGAACTTGACTGAATGGGGCGAAGTCCTCTTAGCACAACGCACCGGCGATGGTGGCCTACTGTGGGTTCGACGGCCTCCCACGGCCGCTCGTTGGCGATTGGAGCTGATCCTTCGCCCGGATTTGTTGCACCTCGGACCCAACGACAACTTGGCGGATGAAAACGTGCGGAGTCTACACGAATTTCTGGAAGGTGATCTTCCGTCAGGGCTGGCGGTGCCACCGAATCCAGGGCCTGGATTGCCGTACAGAGGTAATTTGACTCGGCTTTTTCAGCAGGTCTATTGGTCGATCTCCGGGCCGGAGACGCAAGCCCGAATTGAATCTTGGCTCTTTGGGAACTTTTTTGGGATCGCCATAGAAGTCTGGCCATTTCACATGGGAGATCTCAGAGTCATTTTCTGATATTTCTAAGGATCATTTAGACATGGAGACTGGGAAGATCTCCACTTTATCGTATGCTGCTGGTCTGGAACGTCGTGGTGCCATGACCGTGCGGCCAGGTGCTCTTAGCCACTCGCTCCAAATGGTGGCGCGAAAGGAAACAGGGTTGACGAGACAAACAGACAGGCAGTTCGTTTCAGGCATATCTCACTTGCTATGACTTCTACAGTACGACACATTTAAGTCAAGTTTCCCCAAAAATCTCTAGTAAGTTGGAGGCCATCGCTAGTAGAAACAACTTAAAAAGGAAGAATGGTCATCTAGGAACCAAATCATTAAGTCTGGGCCCTCTTCTGCGTCCAAGCATGTCCAAGCCCTGCCGCGCTGCTTACTAGTGACAGTAGCTCACCTACTCAGCCTAGTAGCCTACCCTGCCTGGCACCCCATAAAGACCAAACACTTCGTTTTTCTTCCAAAAGGCGTTCGAGTTAGTTCCGGCCAGCCGGGGTCTTTGGAAGGGTGGCGTCCAATAGTATGGTCAGTTTAAATACCCTATACAGCTGCATCAAACTGATGCACAATGAGGTATTTATCCAATGCCAGAAGTTTGTGTAAATGTTGCCTGGCAGCAATCACTGGCACCTTTGGTTTCTGTCTTGGTGATTTCTTTGCGTGGCTTGAGGTCGGGTGCCTCTACTTGAGAGTTTGGGAAGAATGCAGGATTTGTACGGAAGATCAATGTGACACGTGCTTCCTTGATACTCAGGACTGCGACTCGAACACATGTCAGCTCTAAGAACACGGGGTCGTCACTCGACCTTTCGGGCCGTCGTCGGGCTCTCCCGTGTGGCCGAAGGACTGGGTTGTGAAGCAATGGTACTCCTCGCATGGCCTCTTCTCAAATTGCCTTTGGCTTTGGCCTGCTGATCAGGCGTGAAGTCGGGTTTGTTCCTTTCAACAGGTCTTGACAGGAAAGTTCATCAGAATGTCAGAATGTTATGACACATGTATACACATGTCATGAAACATGTTATGAAAAATAATGCTAATTTACTGCCTTGGCCACGCCGAGTTGCTTCTACATTCTAGGCGGCCTGGTTTGTCCGCACCGAAGTGCAGCAAGCCAAAGAGAAAGGGCTTTTGCCCGATGATTTTGTGGCTCAGGACGAAACGCATATAAATAATTTAACCATATATATATATACACATAATATATATACAGCATATATATATATATGTACGTATCAAATAAATGGATTCCAGGGAAAGCCCCCTCGAGCTGAAGCTTAATGCAGTTCGTCTTCAGCTTTTCTCAAGAAGTTGAAGAGCTGCGGAGCACAGTGTACTTACCTTTCATGCACAGTGCACTTACCTTCATTTGGAGAAAAGGATTTGACAGTTGACATGTTCCTTTTGAAGGGATGCAAGCACTCGACACCAACAGCTTTCTGTCTTGATTTGCTCAACCTCTCTAGGAGCTTCCACCTGAAGGAGCTACTCCCCCGAGCGCTGTAGCGACGGTGCCTCTGCTGAATCTGCTTCAGGGTTATCCAGAAGAGTTGCATCAAACCTGCAGTTTATGTGGCACCAAATTCTGGAAAGCATTGCAGTCCATCGGCCATCCCTTGAAGGGGGAGGATATGCCAGAATTAGGAGGTTTTCCAGCAACAGTAATTACATCCTGTGATAGACGAAATGAAAAGCTATGACTCTGTAGCCATCGTGTGATGTCGCAAGTTATGGTGCTATCACCAAGGTTCCACCTACGGTCACTATCACGACCGCAACACCCACGGCGACTGCTTCAACGTCCACCTTTACCATGACTTCGACCACCAGCACATCAATGACACTCTCCATGACCAATCCTTGCATAGCACTTGAGCCGCCAGAAGGAGATCACAGTCGCATAGATCACCCTTGGAGTTCCATCAGATGTGGCCAAGTCAAGCCTGTCAACTTACTGTAAGTTAAGTGTGTCCCAGGACTGCTGCCGGATGAGACATGCAGCGATATGGTGAATGCTTGGTGTCAGGCAGGTCCAACTTTCTGCAACTGCTTCTGAACGACCCTGGTGGGCCTTTGATGTGCCTGACCATTTTCTCACCCGAGTCTGACCCTGAAGGACTTGTCGATCAACAGCAGTATGCCACATGCAATTGCACCAAGCACTCTACGCCGAGATTGTGCAACGTATCCATGGACCTTCAAGGCACTCTGCAATCCACAGACGGCGCCAACTGCCCTGGCGCCTTCAAACTGCGAGCAGCCCCTGTGGAGCTATGCGCTACTTGCCGCAGGTACAAGAACTTGGTCCACAAGATGCTCAAGTAGGGAAGGTCAACCAAATGAGCTGTTGAGCACCTCTGATTCAGATGATAGCACTTACACTACTTCTATCCAAAGTTAAGATGATAGCAATTACTTGCCTCATGAGTTCTGGCTTCACAATGTGGATGTTCCAAACCTGCCACCCGCAGGCATCGCGCTGATCCTCTCTACGATTGTGCCATTCTTTTGGTGCGCCAGCATGCGGAGGTGGGCCTTGGAGGGTGTGTTTGCTTTTCGCGACAGCACGGCAGAGTCGGGTTTTCCACACTGGTACGACAGGATGTTGACGAGACACCACGGAACCACATGGATCCACATTGTGTCACCATGTGTCATGCGTCAGCTCTGTCGGCTTGCCCCAACACAGGAGGCGGGGCCGCGGCACTGTGAGTGACCTCCCCAGCGGCCTGCGGCTGCGGGAGGCAGCCTGGGCAGAGAAAGTACCAGGCCGAGGACTTCTGTGACATTTTAATATTTAAGTATATGGCTTTATATGGCGTGATGAGTTGTCTTGGATCGTCTTTGATGGCCATATTTGCAGAATCTTCAACAGCTAGGCTACGCCTCAGGCGCTATGGAGCCCTAGTTTCTTTGATCCGTTAGAAGTGTGCACCAGTCAACTTGCAGGAGCCTCAAACCTTGCGCCGAGTGCATCCGAGCAAGCCGAGTCCGGGCATTCGACAAAGACTCCCTGGTGGGACTTCCGTCAACGATGGAACGCATACGTGAAGAGGATACTCAGGGCTACCGACCTTTGCTGCCTACCTGAGGCTACGAGGTTTTCTTGAGCCACACCATTCACCATTTTGAGCCATACCTAGTAACAAGTGCATCGCTACTAGTAACAAGTGCCTTACTAGTAGTAACAAGGACGCTACTAGTAACAAAGGGCTTTGCAAGTCTTGCACTAACATTGGCGGCTTACCTTGCTTCTTACTGCACCAGGCCGAATAGCTTCCAATTCAGATTCCCCTAAGTACCTACTGAACGTGTGGTCCAAATCCTTCCCAAAAGACCCCGAACAAGCGACTCCGAAACAGGGACTCCGAAATCGAGAGGGTCAGTGGAGGGTGAAGGCGCTTGACTAGAATTAAATCAATAATAATCAAAAATAATAGCTTCTTGTTACTACTAGTGAGGCACCTGTTACTAGAAGCGATGCACTTGTTTCTAATAGCTTCTTGACCCAAGGTCTTTAAAAGGGGAAAGGGACTGACGCGGGAGGAAAGCTGCACGGGGACAATTGTTCTGATTGCCTGCGAGGAGCAAGCAGTCGAAGCGGTGTTGCTGCAGACGACATGAGAGAATTCTGAAGGCAATTCTGGCTGCATTGATTTGTTTTGACAGGTGGGGTGGTGAATTGTTGTGGTAGGTTCAAGTAGGTCCTTCTTTCCACAGAAGAACAGCTACTGTAAATTGCTTTGTGCAATCCTTTTCAATCCTCTTGAATCCCTGGTCACCCAACACAGGTGGAGAGCCCGGAGAAGTCTTGGGAGGTTGGGAAGAAGGAAACGGGGCAGCAGAGGATCAAGATGGATCAATTAGAATTCTAATGAATTCTATGAACTACTGTAACTATAATTGAGAAGAACTGAGCTTGGGATATCCTCGGCTGCTTGAAGAGCAAGGCATGCTGAAGTTTTTCATGAACTCATATAAACTCAACATGCCGAGCTCTCCGCCTTAACTGCCATGTCAAGCATGGTTGTTTTGGAAGGTTGAACAGGTGGACACCGAAACACCTCCAGATACGACCATGAGCATTGGCAGCCCCAGACCGAGTGGAGAGCTAAGCCGAGCAGGTCTACAAACCAAACAGGTACTTGAAGTGCAGCACCTTCAGCAGGAATGTTTTGTCAATTCCTCTGCAACGAGCATAGTCTCTAGATGTGTTTAGAGTTTAGAGAGCAAGAGTTCGGTTTCAAGAGGTGCGGATGATTCGGCCTTGGACTTGGAATAAGCTTTGAATGCCTTTTTGTCACACTGGAATCGTGGGCGGAGTGCTCACCAGTTGATTCGTTAGATAGGACATGGGGCATGCGGAACATGGTTTGCTCAGTTTTGTTTGAGGTGCCACCGCAGGCTGCATCTGTGCAACAGATCCTCAAGGGCACCTGGCAGCCTGGAACCACATGTTGTTGTGTTGTGTGTTGTATTCGTGCCGCTGAAGAGCTCTTGCATGTCCACGAAGGATTGAGTGTCCTTGTTCAACCGGTAACCCAAGAGTGTCTTAGATCTGATCATGGCGAGTACAAAAGAAAAGAGAAGGAACGGAAAACCCACAGGTCCACTGAAGACAAAGGAAACGAAGCAAGACCTTTCTTGGCAACCAAATGAGATCCAAAGATTCATGTGTAGCACTTCGGCAGCTCTCAGAGGCCAATGTTTGAAGGCTAGACGCGCGTCTGGGTTTGTTCGGAAACGATCGGGGCACTCGGACACGACGCGCTCGGACACGTCGTGGTCTGAGGCCGGGCCTCAGTACTTTGAGTGCTGCTGCGGCAGCAGGGCGTCTCACAGATGCCATGCAACTTGACTCTTTTCAGTTCAGCGTAACAATCATACCATGGTATGAACCATTGTAAAAACCTCTGTAATCAAACAAGAGGATTCACAAACTCAGGAGGTCCATCGAGTAAGTCTTCACTTTCCTCTTTGAATCTTGCACAATTCAGTTGATACCAAGTACCAACACTTTCAGGAGCTCATTGCTGCCAAAGGGACACAAACGTTCTAGTTCCCGGAGGACAGAGTACAAGAGATTGTAAAAAAGCTTTGTCCATAGGGATGTTATGTGTGGCTGTCGCTGTAAGCCTGGGACGTCCTTTGGAACAGTTTTCATCAGATCTTCAAACATAACGATCAAACATGCAGAGCTGTTGGTGTGTGAAGCACCAGAGAAAGTCGCACTTTGCTCAGCTCGGGCTGAGGCGCAAGTTCATGTTGCCTGGTGCTCGTCAGGCCAAGAGGGAACTGCAGAAATAGCACACATCACACTGTGTTTGGTAGACTTGATGCAGGCAGATAAATGGCGCTTGCTGCATGATGTGGAAGACATCCTTCGCACACTGGGCAGTGCATCGTGCTGAAATGTTTGAGCAGAATCCTACTGTTGTGTTTCTTCTTGAAATGCTCCTTTCTCTTGAGTTATATAATTATTTTTTTTGTCCGGCTCATTCCTTAGCTGTCTTTTTGGTGCCCAGAAATGCTACAAGGCCTTGCCCGCCAACCTCCGCAGTGCAGCCTGGGCCTGGTGGGCGTCTCAGAAGTGACAAGAGCCACGCGGCAACGCGCAATGCCATCACATGTTGGGCAGTTTAGAAGCCATCTCGGATTCAGACTTTTAAGATCTTTTAAGATCTTTAGACAGAGAATGTTCAATCCGTTCAACCTGAAAGACAGCTATGGGTCGTATTGGGTTTCATGGCCAGCCGTGGCAGCAGCAAGGCACGCAAGGCAGACTGGACGACTGCACCGAAGCTCAGCGCTGGAAACCGCTCAAGAGGAGGTACGAGACCTGTCGGAGACTGGTCCGAGCGATGTCCGAGAGAGCTTTCGTCTGGAAAGACATGAACCCTGAAGTTAACCTGTATATCACATGCTCTCGAAGAATTCCGAGCATTAAGATTTCTTCAATGCAAATGCACATGTATTTGTTCCATTCGTTTGTTGGATTGTTGAAACATCATCCGTCGCTCAGACAATACATCTCAGGAGTTTGGGGAGACTACAGGCTACACCTTAATATGATTATGTACCGACCATACCAATCTTTTGCATTCAGCTTGCGATATCGCAGTCTCCCAAGTTGTCGATCCAGGCGAGGTCAATTGCAGAGGACTTTCGAGAGGACTGCTTGGCTATTTGTTCCGTTCGCCCGACTGAGATGTCGTCGAACGCTGCTGGCGACATCTAGTGAACATTTGTTCGCTGTTTGGGAGTTGCCAAGTCGTTCACTCGTTCCCCTCAGACAATCCAGTGGTCCTTGTAGAATCATGTAGAAATTACAGTTTTAACCCGCGCGAAAGGTTTCACATCAGCAGTGCGGGGACACAACAAAATCTCCAGAACCCGGGTGTGAGAACCGACCAAGTCGGAAGATCATTTCAACCTCTGCTACTAGGAACAAGAAGCTGGTGGAGGCAATCGCTAGTAGGTTGGAGGCCATCGCTACTAGGAACAAAAAGCTACTAGGGCGAGGCCGCTTGGCTTCCAGGATCTCTCAAGGCGTTTGCAGAATGGTGTACGTCAATTGGAAGCTACTGCACTAGAAGGAGCGGGCCGCTTCGAAACCATCGCAAGTCCAAGACATAATCCAAGACGTAACGGAGCCAATCCAGCCATCAAACAGGGCTTGTGAAATAGCTGCATCTCCTATCACGTGGCTGCTGTGGCTGATGAATAGAATCCGGTCAAGGCAGGTCGACAGCAGAGGTTGCAGTTGTGCCAAACAGCAGGAATTGATGATGTCCAAGATTTTCAGAGAGCTCCCGGTCCCAAGAGCCTGGAACTGAGGAAACAGGTCTGCATGAAACAGGTCAAACTCAGTTCGAAACAGGTCAAACTCGGTGAGAGATGAAGATGAGACAGACCATTCTCTGACAGCTTTTAGCTGCTCCTCCGCTCCGCGCAAGGCTT